GGCTTAGTCAACGGGGCATTTTAGGCTTAGGGCCAAGCTTCAACGAAGCAATTTAGGCTTAGGGCCAAGCTTCAACGGGGCACTTTAGGCTTAGGGCCAAGCTTCAACGGGGCACCTTAGGCTTAGGGCCAAGCTTCAACGGGGCACTTTAGGCTTAGGGCCAAGCTTCAACGGGGCACCTCTACGCACTCGACCACGACCATCATGGACTTCGACGCTACGGGGCGCTTTAGGCTTAGGGCCAAGCTTTAGCGGGGCACCTCAGGCTTAGGGCCAAGCTTCAATGGGGCACTATAGGCTTAGGGCCTTCAACGGGGCACTTAAAGCCTTCACGGGGCACGTTAAGCTTTGACGGGGCATGGGCATGCTAGTTCATAGGGCTTGATTCGCTTTGCCGCCATGGGCCGGAGTTCCGGGTCGAAAGGAGATGGAAAAGGAAAAGGAAAGGGGCCGGGGAGGGTTCAGCGGTACTCCTCTGTGGCCGTGAACCCTCCCCAAACATGGACAGAGCCTGCTGATGGCTTTGGGGCTCACTACAAGCGGAGGCCGAATTCCGTTGCCCCGCCTTCAACTTTCGCCTGCAACTTGCATGCTGTGTCAGGGGGCCATCTCAGAAGGAAGGGCCGGCGCGGGTGCGGCGTCGGTCCAACAGGGAGGGCCGCATCGGCGAGCTGGAGGCCGGCAATTAGATTCAGATTCCGTCCAGTGTTGCATCTGATGTCCTGGAGGAGGCGGTCGAGGAGTTGGAAGGCGAGATCAGCCGCCTGAACAACGAGACAGAGGCTGGGATCGCGGAATGGCATGGTTGCAGGATGTTCAGATGATACTCATTTTCAGGATCGGGATGCCACGGCGGTGGAAGCCAATGAGCTTCAGGGGCAAGCGATGGAGGTACCGCCAGTGTGCTCAGGGGATTGTTTTGTGTTGTTTCATGTCCTGCTCCTTGGGCAGGAGCTTCAGGCGGAGATGGAGGTTACGTCTTGTTCGCATTGGCTTTGGACTTCGGATCTAGTCCTGGGGCAGGCGATGAAGAACAGCTATGAGATCCAGCTGCAGGTTCGGCGTATTCACGTTCGCATTGGGAGTTCCCTGAATCCTCGCATGTCATGGGTCCGTGGGCAGGAGCAGCAGGACATCAACGACAAGAATCTCCAGGCATTGGCGTTGGAAGTTCCCTTAATCTGATCGCATGTCGTGGCCCTTGAACAGGACATGAAGCAGAGCTTCTTGGAGCAGACCCAGGTTCGGTTTCTTCGTATTCGCGATTGAATTCCCAGCTATCCCTGGCGGAGGCCATGGAGAGAGATCAGGCCGTGCTCATCCAGGTCGCCTGGACTGCTAGGTTGGCTGATCTTCGATTTGAGATTGTGGGCGTCTGCCTCAGGAGCTTGAGGCCGAGCATGAGAAGGCCATGCAGAAGAAGGAGGATGAAGTCTCAGCCAAGTACAAGGATCCTTCCGGGCTTTTGGACTTGTGCACAAATGCTTTCTCTTAGCTAAGTTCTTCTTCGCAGGAGAAGTTGGCGAGCATGACCGATAGTTTGCGTGATGCCGTCTGGTGCAACAAGGAACTATATAGGCGGCTCAACGAGAGGGCCCAGGAATAGGAAGGTTCAGGCAAAAAGAGGAAGGCCTCTTAATCTAAGAAACAGACAGTGCTCATCTCAGCTCAGCACAGCTCAACACAGCTCAACAACGACAACAACACACAGCTCACCACACAGCAGCAGACAAAAAAATCCAAGGGTGCCGTCCTCGACCTCGAAGGGTAGTTTTGCCTTAAGTGGCCGCAGCGCTCGTGTCGAGCCTCCTTGGAAAAAAAAAGAGTGCTGCATCACTTTGTGACTGAGACCTTGAGATCAGCTTATGCAGTGCATGCCGATGATTTGATTGGGTCGCTAAGGCGTGATCATCCCTTGGATCATTGCAGCCGGGGGCCTGGTCAGTGGCCACGTTGTGATTTGCTGGGTACGGGGAGCACCTTGAGCTTATTAGTGCATAATGCTGACTTGGGAATTTGAGAGGTGCGGTTTGGGTCGCTATCATGTCGGTACTCCGGAATTCCAGAACCTCGGGTTCTCGGCCACCTTGTGTTGCATTCTAGGGCCTCGTGTCGGCATCCCACATAGACGATCTATTTCTTAGAAATTGTCGTCTCCCATGGATCCCAAACACATCAACGTCACCTCATTGAGGCGGCCCATGATTGCACGTGCGGCGATGGCAGCGTGAGGAAGGCGGGAATCGAGTGTAGTGCCGAGCTGAGTGGATCACGGGCAGAGTCAGGGATAAGGGTTTAGTTAGGGTCAGGGTTATTGTAAACTTAAATGAAGGCTGTTCAGCGTGGTATCGATATTACGCCCTAAGCTTCTGAAAGTGTTTTTTTGCATGAATAGCTTAATCCATTCATTTCAGTTGAAGTAGTAGCCGCATATGGCCTCGTCAACACGGCCGCATGTGTCAGGGTTCTTGCGCTGGCAGTGGTTGCCGACTCTAGATTGATCGCGGGGAATTGGATTGTTGACGATGCTAAGAAGATCATGCTAGACTTAGACGTTTGCACCACGGTAATGAGGTTCAGTGGTGTGTGCAGAGGGTGTGTCATCCGTGAATACGAATAACTGTGCTAGGTGTGGTGAAGCATCAATGATCTAGGCGGGCATCGCTGCACAAGCGATGCAAATTAGCAGCACTGCAGAAGTGCTGCACTGCGACTCACCGTGCAACCAATTACAGACTTCTTCTGTGACTCAAAGCAAGACGAAAGCTTTGCCCGAAGCTAATTTTGGAAGCTCAGCCCAAACCCGACGCACAAGCTTTGTGCAGCCCTGTCTGTGGCCACAAGCAAGCCTGCAGGAAATGTGCTCGCCGACTCGCTTTCTAATTGCCAAGAACAGAAAACGAAAATCAAAAAGACATTACTAATTACAGCACCCATGAGGGGACGTTCCCCGCACAGGTTTTGAGCATGCTCTAAATTCCCAACAAGATCCCTTGCACAATAGCTGCTCGGCACTCTCTGGCTTGGCACCCGGGCATAGACCGCACGCAATTTGTGCAAGCCTCTCTTCTCCGAAGCAAGGATGTTTGAAGCGGGCCTCACTGCACAGGCAATGTAGACGAGCAGCACTGCACAAAGTGCTGCATCTGACTTAGGGTGAAAGGTGTTTACTTCCGGATGATGTAGTTTCAACTTTGGTTAACTCCTGAGATAGTGTAGAAATCCTGTGACGTGCAGGCCCTTAAGCCGTAGGAAAGCAGCCTCAACCTTGCCTGAGCAGATTTCATGCGGAGGCTTATTTCCCAGGCTTGCGCAAATTGCGTGCGGTCTCTGCCCGGATGCCAAGCCAGAGAGTGCCGAGCAGCTATTGTGCAAGGGATCTTGTTGGGAAATCAGGGCATGTTCAAAACGTGTGCAGGGACCGTGCCCTCGCGAGTGCTGAGCTGTAGTAGTGTCTTTTGATTCTGTTCTTGGCAATTAGAAAGCGAGTAGGCGAGCACATGACCTGCAGCCGTGGTGGTGGCCACAGACAGGCCTGCACAAACCTTGTGCGTCGGGTTTGGGCTGAGCTTCCAAAATCAGCTTTGGGCAAAGCTTTCGTCTTGCTTTGAATCACTTACTTGCTTGCACGTTCAGCCGAAAGTTTGTCTGAACAGATTTGCTGCGGAGGCGAGGCGGCGAGGCTTCCACAAATCGTGTGCGGTCTCTTCCCGGATGCCAAGGCCAGCGAGTGCCGAGCAGCTATTGTGCAAGGGATCCTGTTGGAAATTCAGGGCATGCTGAAAACCTTTGCGGGGACCGTGCCCTCGTGGGTGCTGTATAGTAGTAATGTTTGTGCTGTTATCTGTTCTTGGGAATTAGAAAGCGACAGGCGAGCACATTTCCTGCAGGCTTGGTTGTGGCCCCACCCGTCTGCACAAAGCTTATGCGTAGGGTTTCGGCTGGGCTTGGCTTCCAAAATAACTACTCTTAGACAGTATGGGGCTCGAAAGGCATTCTAGTCTTACTTTTAAAGCTCGGCAGTCGCTACCTTGCTTGGCCGTTGTTGTTTTGCAGCGTTTTGCTTCAGCTGTAGGGTTTATCTTGTGACCTAGCCCCGGCGAATGCTTGGCAATGCGAACAGCTTTCCGGGCAGTTTCAGACCAATAGACTCCTTCTCGAAGGCGTCACTCTGCCAGCAGAACAAACTAAACAGACTATCATGGCTAAGTGTCCGTTGTCAGTAAACCATGTCGAGGGGGCGGTGCCGATCGCCGGATGGACAACATGCCGTGAGATGCATTGAAAGATACGGTTCTGCTAGCCTTGCTGTTGCCAATTGCAACCGTTGCAAATGGTTGAAGCATTGCTCACGATGGACTTCCAGATGCACCTGGCTGGAAGAGCAGCCGGACAAGCAGAAGCCGTGGGGTCTGGGATGCCGGCATTGTTCTTTATCGCGGAATGCAGAGACATCAAGCTCCTGCTGGAAACACCATCTTAAAGGAAGTTCCGGTATTCTGCAGATCAAAGACCTACTGGATCATGCACGATCTCCTATGCATTTCAAGGCAGCGGGTTTGGAGTTGGCTTCTACTCCTGAGGAGAGAAGCACAGATCTGGCAGCGGATGTACCAACTGCCGGGCTCATTCGTCTAAGCCTCGAAATAGTTCGGTGTCCACTGGGTGCGCAAGGCGAGGAGTTTCAGAGAAAAGCTGAGTTGGCAAGCCGTGGCGACAGCCGGAACTTCCCAGCAGCTTTTGCCATCAAATACCAGCACAGCCGTATCGTGAAGTGTCTCGCGGATGTGTTGTCCCTTAGCTTAACCCTAGCTAAAGGTACCAGATGAGGTTTTGGGTGCTTCCAGATTTCCTTCGATATGTGGCCCCGCTTCTCAATCCAAGGTTTCAGATGGATAGGGACCTCATCGACAAAAAGAAGATCAGAGCTGCCGGCTGGGCAGAGGCTGGTTACTAGGGTCCGATCTCGCAAGTTGCTGTTCTTAGTTCTTTTTTGCCAGGATGTCGCTGACGGTCTGTCCCTTGTCAAGCTGAAGATGTGCACAAAAGATTACGACGTCATCCATCGCTTGGCAGATCTCCGGGATACCCAGGGCCAGAAGGTCTCGTGATTGCGATTTGCTTCTGGTTTGGCGACTAGTAGCACCCCAAAACCTGAGTCTTGTCCTGTGCCCAGACAGCTATCTCCAAGCTGAAACATGTGAACGACACCATCCGCTTCTGGGGAGAGCCATTGCGTCCCCTCATCCAGGCCGGTTGTCTCGGCACATGCAGCAGCAAGTGTCCTGCAGACTGTGGCTACTGCAGGCTTGGACGAGCGATGGCGAGCCTGCAGAATTGCTCTGTCCTAGGTTGGCCAAGGACACACTTGCACCAGAGGAAGCTAGCACAGACAGAATTGTTGTGAGCTCGATGGGTGGCCTTGCCAGGAGGACGGCGTCCTTCCGTCTTTGCTGTGTGTCCTGAGATGCACGGCACATGCATCGCAGAAGGCGCTAGAGCGGGCCATGTTGACCAACGTGGAGGTCAAGGAGCTTCTTGATACTTTGGTTTTCAACTTCGCCTCGGGCAAGCATGACAGAGGCAGCCTAGCACGGGCATTGACCAACAGTCCAAAAATGCATGGCATGCTGAAAGAGGAACTGAGCAAGGACCTCAATCAGCTCTACGAGCTCTCGTCTCAGAGTCATTCTTCAGCTGGATCTTTTCATTTTGCTGCCCAGCGGTGGGACTCCACCCTGAAATGCCTGAGAATCTTCGCTTTGAGGATGAGTGAGATCTTGAGTTTGCTTGCCCGTGTTGCTGCAGACAAGACAGACCAAAATCAGAATTGGGCCAAATCTATGTTGAACTTCCTCAGCATGGACCGTATTATCCTTCTTTGCTTGTGCGTGGAGTTCATGGAAGTCGCCTCACGGTACGTGCATGCCTGCGACAATCCCGGGGGATCTATTAAAGCCAGCTCTGCGGGCAAAGCGGCAAGCTCATTGCCCCGGCGTATAGCTCAGCTTGCCTGCACCGCATCCAATCTGCGTTTGCGACTAGATCAGCTCTTCTCCTTTACTTTCCAGGGCGTCAAGCAGGTGCCACTGGTGATGGACGAACGTTTTGAGAAGGGTTATGTGCAGATCGTCACCAAGGCTCTCAGCCTTGGTCTCGTGCCGATGAGATAGTACAGCCAAATCTGATTTCTGATTTTTCTGCGGTAAAATCATTAACGGATGCTGGTTTGGATTTCTGCGAGATTTCAGAAACCCTTTCATCCAGGGCAGAAGTCCTTCTCGGTCATCGCGGGTGGCAAGCTCTTGTACCATTTGCAAGGCCGGATTTTCAGTGTTGGTGCAAACACATGGGCTGCGTCTTGCCGCATTCTGCTTGCAAGACTAGTGGATGCCCAGCATCTTCCTTCTAAGGCTATGGGGCGGAGAGGCTTCGCAAAGTGACCGCGGAGAAGCTCGGTATCCTGTGGAACATTCAGACTCTCTCTTCCTGCAGGGCGTTTGGACGGAAAATGAGATCGGCATCGCTTCTGGGTTCTCCCCGTTTGATGTCGGCTCATGGCTCAAAGAGAACAAGGACGATGCATCTCTGTGACTTGGCAAGCCCAAACACACAACACGTTCTTTTCCAAGTATCTTTGCGAGCCTGTCCCGCAGAAGGCCTGCGTTGCTTGAGCCCGTGGCCAAAGTGGTGGGGGTGCAGGCCTGTGCAGAAGGGTCTGGTTATGTTGTTCTGGCCTTCCAACTGATTTTTGATGCGGAGGCCGATGCCTTGGCCAAGGAGTTGCAGTTGGCACGTCCCACCGTCCAAGCTCTTCTCACGTAGCGTCCCCAGACTCATCTCTTTGCCTGATGTTATTATTGGTGCAGACTACTGATGTGTCCTTGCTGAGGCAAGGCAAAACAGACCCCTGCATTTACTGGAGAGATTGTTTGCAGCACTGGGGCAATGGCAAGAAACTGCCTACCCTGAGCAAAGCCGACTTTCGCCTGCAACT